CCAAGACCCCCCAAAACAGCACATACAGGTGAGCAGCTCCTATCCCATGCGCCGTCCTGTCAGGCTGCCAAACCCATTTGCCACATGTATTTATGCAATACTCCCCACCTGCACACCCACAGCACCCTTTCCCCCCAAAGCAAAGGTGCTGGAGGACGGAGTTTAACCAGCTGGCTGGTGCGAGGCTCTTTGGGGGAAGCCTCTGGCCTGTGTTACGACAGAGGCTGCACAAAATGGTCCTGCTGGTCCCTTCTGAACTGAACCCTCCCTCATTGCTAGGAGTGGGGACAAGCGCTTTGCCTTGGCAGATGGGCCGGATGCCAGAGCGGGAGGGCTGGAACGCTCACCTGGGGTGCACCCGGCTCCTTCCAGTGCAGCGCACACGGGCAGCCAGCCCATACCTGCTCTGCCGCTGTCCTTCCTGCCCTTACATGGTCCTGGGGAGTCTTTTGCTCCCTCCTGCAGCATCTCAGTGCCAGGTGAGCCCTAGACCCACACGACTGTGTTTAAGTCCCAGCTTATGCCCTCACCTCCTGGCATGGGCAAGTGGGGGCTACAACCTCTCCCTCTCAGCAGGCTTGTCGCCCACGGCTTGAGGGAGAGCTTTTCACCAGGCTGCAGGGACGTTTCTTGGGCTCCTTTTGATTGCTTGGACAAAAGCAATCGGAGCTGGCTGAGGGTGGCAGGGAGGTTTACACTGTGCCTCAGGGACAGGATCCATTAAACTCAGCCTAACTGGGCAGGAGCTGGGTGCCCAGCTGCACCGAGCAGGGAGCTTTGAGCCTTCCTTGGCACTGGTCATCAGGACTGAGGGAGCTTCACAGGCCTGTAGATTTTAAATACCTCTAGGGTTAATTGCACTAGAAAGTGAGTTTTCTGAATCACTCCTCCAGGCTTACCTGCCTTTGTTTTGCTGAAATCCCAGTGAAATCTGCAAACATTCAGGACCTTGCTGGGTTGTTTGCAAACAGAGGATAAACTGACTGCAAAATCGGGTGTTTCTTTGACGCTGTCTTGTTGTCCTCCTGTTCCTCCAGCAGCAAATAGGGGATGCAGCTCAGCTCCCACAGCCCTCCAGCCCACGGAGAACTGCCTCTCCTGCCTGCTGGCATGAAGCCCCCCCCTCTCCACCGCTGTTTCACCTCCAGAGCTGCTCTCAGCCCCAGGCTGGGCTGTAAGATCACTTTCTGTTAAAAAGAAATAAAGGAAGGTGAACTATGGGTTACAGAAACGGGTGTAGGTGCTTCTGACAAGACTCAAGTGTCCCATCCAATTTGGACATGCGCTGCGGGACAGCGCTTCTTAGCACGCCATAAGGCAGGGAGCTTTTTGCCTCCCTTTGAAGGCCCAGTGCCGCAGGGGATGCTGATCAAAGCGAAAGCAATTCTTTCCTTTGGTGCACTCCCATTCTTTACTGTTTTGCAAAATGCCTGTGGCTGAGCAGTTAATGGAGGCATCTGCTGCACTGGCAGAGTTCACTGACTTAATTAAAGACATCTAACAATTCTGCAGCTGCATGCGAGAGACCACAGGTACTTGCAGGGCTGAAACTGAATATCCTCAGCAGTGAAAGCAAGTGTCCCCACTGTGCAGAAAGCGTAGATCTGCAGCCAGACACTCACATGAAAGCAGAAGCAGGGCCCAAAGATTAAGGATGGACTAGAGCCAGCTTGCAACGTGTGTCGTGGAGGCCTCGCTGTGCTGGAGAACTGTACAACCTCAGCTCACACTCATATATCTTTGAACAGTCAGACCTGCAACAAGTGAGCAGAGCCAGGGACATTCCTCGCCCATAGGGATGGTTTTACCTGGAAAACATTTTTAACGTATATTTTCTCACTGAGTGAAAATAGTTAGCTGGTTTAAAAAGACAGGTGGGAAAACTAATCCTGTACCAAGTGGTTATCAAGTTCTCCTCTGCGTGGGGCCATGTTCTCTCCCTGTTAAATGAAGAAACATTTCACTCATGGGCATATTTCTGGTATCACTGCATATTTGTGCTGATCAGGGACTTTGCAAGGCTGTTATTTTAACAACTTACCAGAGAAGCTCACAGAACAGACTGGTACTTTCTGATTAGATTGCATGGCAGCAGGCACCAAGGACTTCAAAGCAGGCTGCTGAGTATGGGCCACTGCCCTGCGGGGCTGGGGGCCAGGGAGCTGCGGTTGCCCTTCGGTATGCTCTGGCCCTGCAGGGAGCAGAGCAGTTGAGAGGCAGGGACTCCCACACACTCCTGCCAGCTGTGGGGAGCCTCATGCCTGCCCTGCCGGAGCGGTGAACGCAACCTCCCAGCGCCAGCAATGTCACTGGTGGCTGGCTGGGATGTAAAGCAGACAGATCAATGCTGTGCTGCTTTGGCTGATATGAATTTATAAATGCATTTCTGTCAGGAGAGGCATTACTGGTGCGAACAGCCTCTGTTCTCAGTAATTTCCATGAGGGGAGATGAGAAGGGGAATGGGCACACAAATGCACCAGCACAAAAGCGCTGCAGGTGAGGAGAGGCATTTCAGCCACAGGGTAGGAGCTGATGGGTCTCGATATCCCGAGACCAGCATCTCTCCTAGAGAGGAAGGGCACAGCTTCTCCCCCGCAGCCTGCTCCCGCTGCAAGGGGAGTTGCCCTTTCCCAACTCATCTCCAGTATGGGTGAACACCACAGCAGGAGGCACCGGAGAGGGGATGTTAGCCCGGAGAGCGCGTCGTGTCCGGAGCTGTCCTGCGGATGACATGACAGCCGCCAGCACCAGCCAGCGCTGTTGTGTAACATGTCACGCGGAGTCTGCTCGCATGGAAGGAGCGCTTCACCTTTGAGCGAACGCTGGACTGCTCTCAGCTGCGGCACAGAAGTGATTTGGGGGGTGACGGGGATGGGAAATGGCAGCAGTTTCTGGGCCTGGAGTTAGCTCTTTCTCTGGTCCTGGAGGAAAATCCTCCCTGGAACCAGGCACTTGTGTTGGCTTGTGACTTCTGAAGGGTTTCCTGCCCTCGGTTTTGCACCCTCACCCACTGAAGGACGGGGTAGATAGAGGGCAAAATAAGATATATTTAGAAAAAAGAAGCGTGCAGCCTTTTCAAACACAAACCCCTCCACAAACAGGAGAATTAGCTAATTCTACTGCGTAGAGAAGCGATGGAGGTATGTATAAAGAAAGAACAAGCATGTTTTCTTTTTTCTATTCTTCCATATGACATCATATAATCCGTCATTAGATAATCCAAGCACTTTTATTAAAACAAAAAGCAAAAAATTAGACATCCAATGATAATCTTCCTGAGAAGGGAACCCAGACCAACCTATTCCCACACTGGACTGGAAGATACATTCACTAGACACGAAAAACAGGAGACTTTGTCCCAAAGCATCAACCCTGGAGCAAGTTTGGCTCACTCTGCTCTCTGCTAGAGACCTGCCACCTCCTTGCATGCCTGCAGCAACATTCCAGCCTACACAGCTCTTGCACCATATACTTCTTGGCATGTCCTCTGCCCACGTGAAAACCTGGTGCGTGCCAGGCCAGGCTTCATTCCGGTCAATTAGAGCATGCTGAGCCCCAAGACCTGGTAGCTGTAGGCAGGCAAGATAGGGGGAGTGATGGCAACATGTATCCATCCTTAAGAGATGCCAGAAGATGTTTCTGCTTGGACAAAGCCATGTGGGGATAACGATAATGGAGGATGGAGTCTGGATGCAAGAGGCCAGTCGTGAGCCAACGCCACAGGGCAGGTTAGTCAGGTCAATGTGTTTGTGGTTTTTCTGTCATTTAGAATTTCCCCTGCAGCAGGGAGCAAGGATGGTACCAGCTCTGCCCCTTGCTCTCTGCCCCTTGCTCTCTGCCCAAACCTGCTCTCTCCAATTCATGTGACTTTACCTCTGAAAGGTGCTGCACCCCTTCTGCCATCTCTCCCCCAGCAGCAGGAAGGGAGCAGGCTCCAGCTGGCTGTCTTTGGGAGAGACAGGGAATCTAGTGGAGGTGGGCTGCACAAGGAAAGACCTGAACAAACTGGGAAATAGCCTTAGGGCAGGATCCGGTAGATCCAGTCAGTCTCAGGTGAATTGTGATCATCTCTCTCTTGCCTCCTCCCCCAATGTGCTTTGTGGCTGAAGGGTTTCCTGCCCTCGGTTTTGCACCCTCACCCACTGAAGGACGGGGTAGATAGAGGGCAAAATAAGATATATTTAGAAAAAAGAAGCGTGCAGCCTTTTCAAACACAAACCCCTCCACAAACAGGAGAATTAGCTAATTCTACTGCGTAGAGAAGCGATGGAGGTATGTATAAAGAAAGAACAAGCATGTTTTCTTTTTTCTATTCTTCCATATGACATCATATAATCCGTCATTAGATAATCCAAGCACTTTTATTAAAACAAAAAGCAAAAAATTAGACATCCAATGATAATCTTCCTGAGAAGGGAACCCAGACCAACCTATTCCCACACTGGACTGGAAGATACATTCACTAGACACGAAAAACAGGAGACTTTGTCCCAAAGCATCAACCCTGGAGCAAGTTTGGCTCACTCTGCTCTCTGCTAGAGACCTGCCACCTCCTTGCATGCCTGCAGCAACATTCCAGCCTACACAGCTCTTGCACCATATACTTCTTGGCATGTCCTCTGCCCACGTGAAAACCTGGTGCGTGCCAGGCCAGGCTTCATTCCGGTCAATTAGAGCATGCTGAGCCCCAAGACCTGGTAGCTGTAGGCAGGCAAGATAGGGGGAGTGATGGCAACATGTATCCATCCTTAAGAGATGCCAGAAGATGTTTCTGCTTGGACAAAGCCATGTGGGGATAACGATAATGGAGGATGGAGTCTGGATGCAAGAGGCCAGTCGTGAGCCAACGCCACAGGGCAGGTTAGTCAGGTCAATGTGTTTGTGGTTTTTCTGTCATTTAGAATTTCCCCTGCAGCAGGGAGCAAGGATGGTACCAGCTCTGCCCCTTGCTCTCTGCCCAAACCTGCTCTCTCCAATTCATGTGACTTTACCTCTGAAAGGTGCTGCACCCCTTCTGCCATCTCTCCCCCAGCAGCAGGAAGGGAGCAGGCTCCAGCTGGCTGTCTTTGGGAGAGACAGGGAATCTAGTGGAGGTGGGCTGCACAAGGAAAGACCTGAACAAACTGGGAAATAGCCTTAGGGCAGGATCCGGTAGATCCAGTCAGTCTCAGGTGAATTGTGATCATCTCTCTCTTGCCTCCTACCCCAATGTGCTTTGTGGGCTGTGGATGCTGCTCGCTCCCCTCCACAAAGACAGACTGGAAGAGGTGTACAGCTGTGAAGACCTGAAGGCAGAGCAAAACGAGATGGGCCTTTACACAGCAATGTGCAAAGCAGGTGGGTAAGGTTGGTGGTGGGGAGGGTGGGTGATGGCAGTGGTTACCTGCAGCAAGAGGGAGATTAAGATCAATCATCAGACAAAGTTATTCTCTGCAGATGCCCAGGAAGGTCAGTGACATCATTTACGAGCCTGTAGCACTTTGGTTTTGACTGGAAAAGATGGTGCAATTACAGCACCTATTTCATGAGATCAGCCTCCATTGAATTTATATAGCAGGCATCAACGAAATCACAGCTTGTTGCTCTGCCAGCTTAGGAAGGACATCCACTCTTTGAGGGGAGGGTTCCCCACAGCTACCAGCTTTTTCAAAAAGGCACTGGGCCGTAGCCCAGGAACATCAGGGTGGGCCTCTGAGTATTTCTGCAGTTTAGCCAGAATGCGAGGGAGCCCAACGGTGGAAGCATAGAACATGGGGCCACCCCTGTGCTTTGGCCACCCGTAGCCATTGATATAAATTACATCCAGGTGTTCCGGGCCAGATGCTATTCCCTCAGCCAGGATGTCAAACCCTTCATTCATGAGGGAAAACAAACACCGCTCCAGGATTTCCTCCTGGTCTATAAAGCGGGTCTTGATGTGATGGGTGTCTCTGTACTGGGCCAGGAAGTCGTGAAGCCATGGATCTGGCTTGGCTGTCCTGCCCCCAGCCTTCTCGTACTGATACCAGCCTTTTCCAGTTTTCTGGCCAAACCTGCCATTCTCACACAGAAGATCTGGCAGTGGGCTGTAGCGATGGCCATGCCGCTGGCGGGCAGGTGTTCCTGGAGGTAGCGAGGCCCCGGTGAGGCCCTGGCCCTTTCGAGACCTCCAGCCCACATCCAGCCCAGCAAGATCAGACATTCGGAAAGGTCCTATCTTAAACCCAAAATCTTCAAGAACCTGATCTACGGCTTCTGGTTTGCTTCCTTCCTCTAAAAGGAAAACTGCCTGTTGAACATATGGATACATCATTCGGTTCCCAACAAACCCAAAACAATTCCCTACCACCACTCCAACTTTTTTCAGTGCTTTGGCTAGCTGCATAGCACTGGCAATGGTGGTGGGGGATGTGTGATGGCCATAGATTATTTCTAATAGCCTCATCACATGAGCAGGAGAGAAGAAGTGTGTGCCAATGACCTGCTCTGGGCGGCTGGTGGCAGAAGCTATTTCATCAATGTTCAGGGCTGATGTGTTTGTACACAGAAAGGCCCCTGGCTTGCAGATTTTTGATAGCTTGTGGAATATTTCCTTCTTTAGTGCCATGTTCTCAAACACAGCCTCAATAACTAGATCTACATCGCGCAACACATCAAAGTTCACAGTGAACTGGAGGTGTGCAGGGTTATGGAAATCCAGGGTATGGGCACCCTGCCCCATTTTCATAGCTTCGCGTTCCAAAAGGAGCATCACAGCTTTTCTTCCTGTGTTCAGATACTCCAGATTCTGCTCGAGGGCTACCACAGGTATGTTGGCCTTAACCAGAGAAGTCACAATGCCTCGTCCCATTGTTCCCAGCCCTAGGGATAAAAGTGAGACAGAATCAGAGACTATGAATAGAAAATGTTACAATTAATCACCTGACAGTAGCATTTCCTTTGTATCTCCAGCATAAAAAGTGGAAGCGTGTGCAAAATGAGTGGTGCACAGGTAGAAAAAAAGAACTGAAGACTGGGAAAAAGGAGCCTAAATGACTGAAAAGCAGTAGCATAAAGGCAAGCTGATGTTCTCTCAAGCTTACAAACTATCAGTGGGATTCACTGCAGTGGGTGCAGATCATGTGGTTCATGTCTTCTCCCTGCAAAGTTTTATACCTATGGAAACCAGCATCACTTAAGAGTCAGAACCTGGGGATCAAAGACAGGAGATCTGAGTTTCACCTTCAACCCTGCTAACAACTTTTACCAGGCAAGCATCACCCTGAGGATATCAGTGCCTCTCTGTTCCTGTGAGATGGTCCTTTATGGGCACTCACAGAAGAATAAGCAAAGACACTGCACCCAGAGATTTTAACACCAGCAAAACTCAGACAATTGGTTCCTCCCTCCTGCCAAGCTTTCTTTTTTGTCCTCTTCCTCTTCTCCCTCTGCACTTTGCGTAATCTTTGAAGCAAAGAAAATTCAGCTGATCTTGGACACTGATCTTCTCTAAGCTTTGTCTCTAATGTCTTGTATGTCTCTTGTTGCCGGGTCAAACAGGATGGAACTAACACAGTATTCTTAATCCAGATTGCAACATCTTCTATCTCCTTTTTAATCACTCTGGAACATCAGTAGCCTTTTGCTTGCTGTTCACACTTCGTATCAGGCATTTCTGCCTACTGGGAACTCTCCAAGTCCTCCAACACAGGCTACTCCTAACTTCTGAAGACTCTCAAAGGCACAGTCTTCCTTGTCCAACCACGCAGTTAAAGTGCTTGCCCAGAATTCCTGTAACTGAGCATCCATCCAAGCCGTATTTTTTTCTCCAAGATCCATAAATACACTACTATCAGCTCATACCACCAGTGTAGAGATTACTGGCTTGATCCCTTACCTCCTCCTGAGCCCTTCCACCAGCTCTGCCCTCTATTACATTAAATGAAGCTGCATGCTTACACTTTCCTGTGATACACAACCCACGCTATTTATCCTGCTCTCCCATGATGGAGGCTTTTCAGACTAAGTTAATACAAACTAGTAAGAGAAGGTTAGCACAATTCTACCAGCTTTAAAAGTGTGAAGCATCTGAATGGGAGGATTATTAATATCCTAAATAAAGCAACAACCAGACAAAGTACAGGTTTGTTATAATTCTGTAAAAATTATTTTTTTAATCCCAGGTTTACAAATGAAAGTCAGCTAAACAAATAAACAGAAACAAGGGGATTAAAAAATTTGTCTAAAGCAGCTTTGTAAAGAAGAGCTGAAATTATGTCGTCAGCAAAACACGAGTTTCCCCAATCAAGGTCAAACAAGGTAGTATGCTTTTCCTGCAAGCTACACACCCATGGTTTCGATCTGTCCACCCTCAGTTTGTGTACACAGAAGACATTTAAAACATTCCCTGCTTAGCCACATGAAGATGGTTTTTACAGACATCACTATCTGGCAGCCTGCTTATAGACCATTGCACTCCCAAGCAAATGCTGAAGTTCCTTTCTAGGAAATTAGATTTGTTACTTCATAATCAAGTACTACGAGAAACTAATTTGAAAATAAAACTAGAATAACATGAATCAGTTCCCCAAATACAAATGGCTCCTCCCACTGTGCTCAGTACCCAGAGGCTTGGATGTGGCAGCAGGGACAATCAGAGACAGTTCTTTCCCTGACTTTGGTGAGCTACACAGGCTGCTTTCTTCTCAGACAGGGCGGGAGGGTAACTCACCACCTCATGCATACCCACCAAGCCTGGCCTCAGCTTTAAGGCTCTTTTTAGACATCAAGGGTTTGCTATTCCACATCTGGGATCTTCACGGCCCCCTCTTGAAGTCCTTCCTTACCAGGGTGAAGACCTGGGATTTATCCCTAGAATTTCCAAGCTCTGCTGAAGAAATAATGCACACATCCTGGGCCTTATTAACTCCTGTTCCTCTCAGCTTCAGGCTCATTACTTCTTCCTAAATCAAAACCTCTTCCCTGAGTAGTGGTTCTCCAGCCTTCTTTTCAAGGGAGGTTCTGCAGTGCTGTCAGCCGATTCCCCTGTTTGCTTTTGTCCACGTGTAGTATGAGTACTCCCATCTAGGTTTTAGCCAACCCACGATAGACAGGCATAAATGCTTGTAGTACTTCACTTTCTAGGCCACGGGAATAGGCTTATAGATAAGATATGAGCTTGCCAAGCTTGTTTCTGACCTAGAAAAGCTGTCTCTCAACTTACGACATAACTCTTCAGTGGCCTGTATGAAATGATGTTTAATGAAGCTGGCAGAGAGAGTAATGAAAGCCCCAAGGGTTTTGTTACATTAGAGCTTGCACAGCATGACTCCCCTGGAAATATTTTCTAAAATTGGGCTATAAAACTAAGGAGAGATTTGGCTACGTAGCAGGGAAAGAAGCATTCCTGAGGACTCCCCTTTTCAATTTTATAAAGCCGAGTGATCTTGGGGAAGAATATATTAGAGCAGAAAAAAATGGTAGGGAATCATTGGGCCTTACATGTGTCGAAGAAAAAGAAAGGGAAACGTTGCATGCTCAGCTCAGGTCACACAGACCAAAACACGGCTAAAACTACTCCAGAATTTCTACTGTATGTTCTGTTTACTTCCTCAATAGTGCTCTCAGTTCCCTCAAACCATGAAAAACCCCTATATTCTTATCCTCCACAGAGGGAACAGTTTTCAGAGCTGTGTTACCATCTTTTGTGTCCAAGGCACATCTTTCAAAAGAAGACTGAAATCTGCTTCAGGAAAAAAGAACAGTGTCTAGCCATCTTGCTTCTGGTCTTCTGTTGTGAAATGTAGCTTTGACACATAAATAAAACTACACTTGAGCCCATGTAATTTCAGACCAAATATGGGTATGAAAAATCCATTTGCTGGGCAAGCTGAGTGAATAATGACTGATAATTATTGATCTGTCACGAGGTACTCAGAATATGAAAAATCATGCAAAATTAATTGAAGGACCTTTAAAACAAATTCAAAACAAATGAACTTGAAATATGTACAAAGCAATGCGTGTACAGTCACACACACTAGAAAAATACAGATCAGTGGGAAATACTCTGAACTATAACGAATATTTGGACTTTAAAATGCTGGGCAATGCAAATAACACACTTTATAGATTGGTAAAAATATGCAAAGACTCTTCCAGTTTTCCTGTTAAAAATAACAATGAGCAATTGGCAGTGGCGGACTGCTGCAGACTGGAGCTGCTTCTTTCTCTGTTTCAGGGTATTAATTTCAAGCAGAAATAATGTGATACTCAAGGCAAGCAGGGAGCTATGGGAAGACTGCAGAAGGGACAGAGAACTCCTCTTTTTTCTGGGTGACGAGGAACCAGAGAAAGAGATGGGAGCCAAGAGTTCAGAACAAGGATAAGCAAATTAAATAGGTGACATTGCATGTGGCTGAAGACAGTCAAGGACAGATAGGCCAGAGCATGAGGGATCCCACATAGCTGGGTGTTACCTGCTTATCAGTCTTTCAGCGAGTAAACTGCAGATAAAGGCAGCTGATTGCAAGCCAGTTGCACAGGAATGGTTGCCAGTTCATCAGTGACGCTGTCTATCAAGCATGCCCACAAAAATGATAGATCATCCTTGATGCTGAATCTACAGTAAGACGTGGTCAGCAAGCAATGTGCCGGCTCCCTCCAACAAGTTCCTGCTAATATTGGACAGGCAGGGGAGCCACAAAGCAAGGCTACCCTTGCATTCATGGCGCTGCTTCCGCACCCTAAGGGTCCTCTGTGCCTATAGAAAAGGTACCGAAGGAGGAGGAAGCCAACATGATCTTCTCAGTTGCTTCCCATTGTGCAGTGATAAAAGTTGGAAGCAGCAGCATAATGCAACATGGGTTTAGTGCGTGAAACAGGACAGCACTGTCTATTGGAAAATGGGGTCTGCATGATTTCTGACCATCCAAAATGGATGCAACATCTTGCACTGACTGCCCTCCTCTGCAGTGAAAATAAACAGACTGTGGATCACCTAGGTAGACTCAGTATCTACATGGATGAGCAGCACTATTTTAAAAGGTGTCAGTCCCTCAAAAATCATCTCTAAGATTTTGATTTCTGGTGCTGCAAGAATGTTCTTAAAATCAAGAATGTGGAATTATGAGATACTGTACAGCATGGTACTATCTGGAGAATGACTTTTTGTTATAGCAGCCTGAAAGAAAAAATATGATTGTGTTGGCACGTTCTACACCTGTCTTTAACAGACCTGCAGTTTCACTGATATGAAAAGGCAAAACAGGAGGAAAACCTTCCAAAGGAGGGAGAATATGCACAGTGGGATGGCAGAAAGTGATGGAAAGCAGTGACGCTTAATATGGTGTGGGATTCAGAGTTAAAAGGAGGTGATCAATAACCTCCAAAATAGGAGATGTCACTTACCAAATGAAGTATAATGTGAACAACTAGCATAAAAAAAGCAAGCTGTAACTGTGGGCTATGGGGGCTGTATTGATAGAAGCAGTGATTCGGAAGAGGCATTAAGAGTCTTGGTAAGTGTCAAGGCCCCGAGTGCACTAATAAGCTTTAATGACACTGACCAGCTACACCTGGAGCGTCCACCCACATGCACTGCCCATGGGCCTTGGAGGCCCATTTAAGCTCAGACCTGGGCCTTCAGTCCCTTCCTAACCTATGTTGGAGTTCTGGTGTCCTACTGTGGCTGTGCCAGGCTATAGACACTGTTGATCCAGACCTCAGCCTGCAGACTGGCTTCCCAACTTTACCTTGAATGTGCATTGTCATGGGAACTTTGCTTGATCATCAGTACTTCTAGTAGATCCTGGCCATGATCTCTGGGTCTGCCCTGCTTGCCTTGCTCAGGTACTGTAAATAATTGATACAGTAGTGGGTTGTGCTGCCATCCAGAGGGAGAAATGGGTTGATAGGAACTTCATGAAGTTCAGCAAGGGTAAGTGTGAAGTCCTGCATCTGGGGAGGAATAGTCCTATGCACCAGTATACGCTGGGGGCTGACTGGCTGGAAAGCAGCTCTGCAGAAAAGGATCTGGGTGTCCTGGTGGACACCAAGTTGACTATGAGCAGCAATATAACCTTGCGGCAAAGAAGGAGGAGTCTTGCTGGCAGGTTGAGGGAGGTGATCCTTCCCCTCTACTGGTGAGACCATATCTGGAGTACTGTGTCCAGTTCTGGGCTCCGGATCTGGGTGTCCTGGTGGACACCAAGTTGACTATGAGCAGCAATATAACCTTGCGGCAAAGAAGGAGGAGTCTTGCTGGCAGGTTGAGGGAGGTGATCCTTCCCCTCTACTGGTGAGACCATATCTGGAGTACTGTGTCCAGTTCTGGGCTCCACAGTGCAAGAGTGATATGGAGTTATTGGAGTGAGTTCAGTGAAGGGCCACTAAGATGATTAAAGGATTGGAGCGTGTCTCACAAGGAAAGGCTGAGCGAGCTGTGACTCCAGCATAGAGAAGGCTCAGGGGGATCTCGCCAATGTATATAAATACCTGAGGGGAAGGTGTAAAGAAGATGGAGCCAAGCTCTTTTCAGTGGCCCCAGTGAGGGGGCCAGAGGCCATGGGCACAAACTGAAACATGGGAGGATGGGAAGTTTCATCTTAACATAAGAAAACACTTTTTTTTTTTTTTTTTTTTTTTTTTTACTGCGGGCATGCCTGAGCACTGGCACAGTTTTCCCAGGAGAGGTTGTAGAGTCTTCATCTGAGCACTGGCACAGTTTGCTCAGAGAGGTTGTAGAGTCTTCATCCTTGGAGATATTCAAAAGCTGTCTGGGCATGGTCTTGGGCAGCTGGCTCTAGGTGACCCTGTTTGAGCAGGGGGGTTGGACAAGATGACATTCGGAGGTCCCTTCCAGCCTCCAAGATTCTGTGGTTCCCACCCTGGGAGGCGTTATTGCTGTTGGCTTCCCATCCCTGGGGTGCAGCTGCTCCCTGCCAGTAGGTAATTAACAGGATGTGTTGAACACTGCTAATATGGAAGTTAGCTGTTACCCTGAGCATACTAAGTAGGAGCAAGGAAGAAATGTCTTGGTACCTGGTCTTAGAGTAATTACTCCTGGAATACTGTTTCTACTTTGGCTATGTGTGCTTTATGAAGTGTTGAAAAATCAGGGGAAGTTCAGAGTCATGAAAATGACCAGAGTGTGACAGATTGTGCTCTGCAGCAGAAGTATCAAAGCACTTAAGTTTATTTATTCTGCAAAAAGTATGGGTTGACTTGTTGTAGCTGTAACCAGCTACAACACTAGAAAATTGGGGGTAGAGGTTGGGACAATTTCAGACTAGAATACAGAACTGTGTCTGGAGAGGAGATGCAAGTATTTAATTCAATGGATAGGAGGTGTAGCCCAGCCAGTTCAGTTTGCAAGTAAGATACAGATTATGTTTCTACTAGAAACTTTTCAAATAGAGATTACATTTGTCCTTAGAATTCTCTCTAGCTCAGTTACAGCACCAAAATAAGCAGATCAGATCTAAGCAGCCCTTCTGGTTAAACTGTCATTGCAATTGGAACTTTGCAGGTGTGTTATTCTGGCATGATTTATCAGGATGTAGCAAAGAATGCCTGTTCTAGTCACCTGATCATTCCTACAAAGCTTCAATGCAAGCCCTTCCTGCCAAAGTACACATTGCAGGACTGCCCTGTCTGGTATTGCATGTGTCCTAAATACGTGCTCTTCAAGTCATGTGATAAACTTGGCAATAATTCATGCCCCTTTACCTGAATGCTATAACAGCCACAGATCCTCCTCAGAAGGTTTGTGGACCAATGTTTAAAAATCATTTTCATTAAAAATACAGCATGGGAGCGAATGAAAAGAAGGGAACTTCAAAAAAAAAAAAAAAAGTGTTTCTATGGCCTGAAATCAGCTTTCAAAGCACTCATATTGCAGAGCACAAGAGTCCTGAGAAGTACCCAGGAAAGAGCAATGCTGATCTGGTGAGCTTTCTCTGAAACAGAATGGATGTTTTCCAAGTGCTCCATTACTTATCTAACCATTTTTTGAGTGCTACTAACAACAGGCAGAGCTGAAAGATAATTTTTTTTTAAAATCTCAGCAGTGCATCAAAGGTTTTATTTAAATTGCTCTTATAAAAAATTAATGAAGGCATTATCTTGCTGGGCTACAAAATGGCAGGAGTGGATCCCAGTGAGATGAAATCTTCTTAAATACAGCTGTCAAAACATTTTTGTATTAATATATCCCTGAATGCACATGAGCTTGCAATACAGAACTAGACCAGAAGGAGGAGAATTTCATGCAAACATGCTTATAACATGCAATAAAGCCAGGACAACATAGCAGTATTTAAAAGGGAACAGACTGCTTATGGTCCACAGGTGAGGCTGTCTCTGAAGTGAGAGGAAGTTACTCTTCCAAAGAAAGAGGTGGCATCAAGTAACAATCTAGTGGGATGTGGCTTGCCGTCTGAATTTCTGAGCTTATCAATGCAGTAACAACTTCCCTCCCTGCATGTCACTTATGGGTGTGGAGTATCTTTGCCTGCGATGGTTACCAGTGACTTTGGCGACTGACTGCTAGGGAATCCCACCTCAGCTTTCTGCCATGAGTAAAGCCCAATTATGCTCATCCCACTTCCCTTCAGCTCTGCTGTTAGCTGTGTAGTCAGCAACCACAACAGCTTTTTCATTCTCTTACCTATCACAGCTGCTTTGTGGATGGGCTGAGGGGAAGCACTTTTCCATGAAGCTCCACTGGGTGTTGTCCACTTCTGCACTGCTCTCTCTGCAAAAAAAGCATACTGCAGTGCTTGGGCCTGGCCTGAAGTCAGCAGGATGTTAAACAGCTCTCGTTCCCTCCGGACTCCATCTGCAAAGGGCTGCTCTGTGGCAGCTTTGACTGCCTGGAAGCACAGCTCTGGAGCCAGGCATCCGTAGGCCTGTTTCTTCACCTTCACAAGAGCCTCACTGAGAAATGCTTCCATGTTGGGCAATTCTGGAACTGGCTTCAGGCTGAGCCTGCGGGGTCCCAATGGCTGTCCTGGGGATAGAAAAATGGAGTTACAGAACAAAGCATCTGCATCTGGAAGACTACAGATTTTCACCCCTTTCTACATAGGCTGGGAATGCAGTCTACCTCTTTTCTTCCCAAGCTCACTGCATTGGGGCTTGCATGGCACAGTGATCTGGGTCTAGAATTATTGTCTGACATTTCTCTTTAGCTTTCTGCTTGCTCTGACAATTACAATTTTTCAAGTCCCTTCTCAGACTTCAAAAAAGCAAGATTTCAATTTCAAAGAAGTAATTCCTTCCTTTTTCTCAGCTACACAGAGTGCCTTGACTTCTCCAGTTTTCTTTACTCCACAGTCCCAGCTGCCACTTTCATATGGCTCTTTCTATAAGCTTCAGTACTAAAGTTTTCCTCCATCAGTGCCCAATCGACTTTGCTAGCCAGACACATTCCAGCCAGGGTCCTGACCCAGGCATTTATAAGACAGACTGGGAAATAAACCCTGACTTCAATTCTTCCCTGACAGCAGGAGTCCCTCTATTCACTTTGGGACTAACCAAGAGGACAGCTCACGCAGCATGAGTTGGGGAGCAAATGAATAACAAGAGAGAGTTCATGCTTCTGTGTCAGCAAGGGGTGAATCAAGCAGCCACACAAATACAGGAGGCTCATTACAGACAGAGGTTGCTATGGTGATACCTAGAAAGGATTTTAATTGAGAGAAATTAGTTACATTTCAGATGCCAAAATTCTGTCTCCATCCTCTTCAGAACTACAAACCTTGGTGCCTGCTAGGAGATCTCTGATCTGCCCATATTCTGGCTGTTCCTGTGTTCTTAATGGTAGCTTGCCTCAGTAAAAACCGTAGGGGAACAAAATCAGAAATTCAGGATGTATCCCCTTAATATTCCAACATTTTCACAAAGACCCTTTTGTCATCATAACCACATCCAGATTAACTGACTGTGTAGCAATGTTACTCTGCTGACTGCTGCAGTGCTGTTCCCAGAAGCACTCAAGACTGCCACCAAAGCAGGCAGGAGGGTGAGCCCCCTCTAATGAGAACCTTATGCCGAGAAGCTCTCTGGTAGACAGTTTCATTGCCCTAGCTTCTCTTATCTGAGCTCTACCACAGGAGCACAATTCCCTCAAAGGTGGCAGATAGCATCCAGCTCCCCTTTTTCTTCCCAATGTCTGAGTTAGGAAAGTGCCAGTGCATCAGCAGAAGACTCAGGAGCAGGGAATCGCACACGGGATGCTGAAGAGCAGGAATAATGGCAGCACTGCATTCACGGTTGCCCAAAGAGCATGTCCTGACTCTAGCGCTTCCTCCAAGACCAAGCCACATTTAAAAGAAACAGAAGTATGAGTTTCCAGGATGAGTTAAGATGCCGATTTCCTGAAATAAGTCTTCAGAGCTCAGGCTTTTTAATTAAACCTTTTAGACAACACAAAAAGATGAACACTCACTGTGTAAGTAGCTTCCCTTGTAATCAGAGTTCATAAAAATATTTTCACATTAACAGTGAATATAGTTTGTATCTGCCAGTATTGCAGGATTTAGTCAGGATAACGTTCCTTTATTTTGGAATCCTTTGTGTCTCTGCTAAATGTATGTGTTTAATCCAGAAATGCTCTTTATCCACAGTCCTTTATTTAGGACTTAAATAGTGGGTTTCACTTCATCACAAGAGGAAACCTCAGGTTTGTCCCAGAAAGCAGATCTAGTGGCTGGAAGGCTACTTAAGACTGGACAGATCATGGGACTTCATATGATACCTCTGATGTGGAAAGGCCTGGTAAAAGAGGAATACTACAGGGAGCCTTTAAGCTTGGTCTTCTGATAGCAAATAGTACTTTTAAGCACAAATGATGATAGGGGACACGAGACAGTTCCTCAGAGTTAAAAAAAAAAAAAGAAAAGTTATTCTCCTAAGGGTCCTGTAATAAAACTCTTACTTGGCAAACCCCATTTAGCTTACAACTAAATATTTCTAGAGCATCTCCATGTAGTGTCTTTACTTCTGCAATGCTAGTAAGAATCAAGGGCATATTTATGAACAGGAAAAAATGATCTGAATCCAAACCTGGGAAAGGGACATCAGTGTGGGACACCTGTGGCTTGATTTCTGAAATCAAAGCAGCAGGAACATGATGAATACTATGGTTTGTAGTCCAGGTGCCACAAAGGACAGATCAAGTCTATAACATTTCTATCGGCAAAAGCAACCACAAATATTGTGCTATTAAAGCAAAAAAGAAAAAATCATCCCAGAGTTGTAAACCCTTGGGATATTACAGGACACCATGCGCAAGAGGCAGGGCTAGCCTAACAGTCTCCCTGCTGCAGTGAACTGCTCGTGCATTTCTGAGAAACAAAGCTGAAACTGGACCCCTGCTCCTCAGGCTTGCAGTGCTTTCAGGCCTGCCAGAGACAAGTCCAGCTTATGTCAGACCTTTTGCCGACCCTGACTGTGTCAAAGGGGCACTCTGCTAGACCTGCCTAAAGAATCATGAGCCCTGGAGAGAGATGATATTGCACATCTTTATATCGTACATCTTCCCAGAGATGACGCACTAAAGGCCCTTGCAACTGTAATTGAAAGCCTTTCTCCAACAGTCTCCATTTAAAGCATGCAATTACCAACCAGTGGTATCTGTGACTTGTTTGGGTTTTATGAGACTTAGAAGAAACACATGCTTCCTCCACAGTTACTCCTAGTGGCTTACAGTTAGCAACTCATAATCATCTTTCCATGCAGAGTCTAATACCTGTGGGGCCTGAGCTAGGTCTAAATTGAATGATTTTCCTTGGCTTTTTGGTGCAAGCCATCGATACTTTTGCGCTCTGAGATGATAAAGGCCAATCAGCAGATGTGGTCAGCAAGGGATGATGAAGGGAGAGCTTCAGAGTCTGCTGTGCAAAGGATCAGCCATTTTCTCTTCCAGCTGAGGAAGACTACAGCAGGCCAGCAAGAGGTGGGCAGTGTAAGCTGCAAGCTGCTGCCTGCCACAAGCCATTTTTCAATTTTGTGATGCCATCAGGCGGACAAATCATGCAATGCAGCTTTGAGTTAGTGCAGTGATTATCAAGTACATTTAATGAAAGAACATTCTCCTTGTCTCCAAGGAATAGTCTCCTGACTATTCCTCCTAAAAAATGCCTTCAAACATGAAGATATTTTCTTTTGCTTAAGGAGGACAGGAACATATGCTTAATTCCTACCTGCAATATATAATTACTGTTTTTCAAGGAAAAATTGAACTTATAAGCAATAATTATCTTTGTATATTCCTATAACCACTTATTCAGGATTGTTTCAGAACTCCTTTTGAAGGATCATTAGGAATAATCCATAAAAATGTATGGATGAAGATGCCTTCCCAACATACCTATCATAAAGTTCTGCCAGCTGCACATCAAAATAATCAAGGACCCAGGCTTCAGGACAGCCATTTGAGACTGAGCTCTTGCCATGAGATACTGCAGCTCCAGCACTGAGAAAGCTTTAGAAGAAAATAATTTCTGAATTGATTCTTTGAGACTTATCTTGCAGTACAGCTTTCCCAGGAATAGAAATGCCATCAGTGACAAAACTAGTTATTTAGCCAAAATGCTCTTTAGGAAGCCAGCGGTTGTTAGCCTCATGTTTAAAAAAAAATCTCATCAGAAACAAAACGCTGCTTGCCATACAAAGACAGTGGACTCTTGTGATGGCATTTTTTTTCTTTGCAACTCTGTCTCTGGTTTTATTAAGATTATCTGAAAAACATTCACTGAAACCAGAACTCAGTGTGAACAAAACCAGACCAGCTATGCAAGACTGTCATATCTTCTGCAGCCCTGAGATAGTGCATGATGTAGAGAAATAAAAGTGCTGGTTTGCCTTTTTATGGCAGGAGAATTACATTAACTTTAGGCAAAGGCCAAAGCCAGGAATGACTCAAAGGAGCATATGGACTCTGGGTACATCATTCTTTCAAATTATCAGGTAACCTGAGGCTAAATGGTGCATCAAAACTTTTCACGGCCTTCTGTAAGGTCTAATGAGAAACTTTCCAAGCAAGAAAGAAATAAAGATTAGCTGACTTGTCAGTATTTTCACTGTTAAAGCACACACTGAGTGCCAATAAAGCTGTTGGAAAGGTCTGAAAGCATTTTTAAAGTCCTGTTGGAGTTGGTATATGGTGTGATGTGAAATGCCTTCAATGACATTTTACTCATTTTTACTGGGGTAACTCCAACCAGCAATATACAGAAAATCTACCACTAAT